TTCCAAGTGTGGACAGTCAACATGGTTGTTTGCCATGCCGACGACGAGCGATTGTCCAACCACGAATTTGCACCACGATAAGCAGCTTTGCAGAGTGCACAGGGTTTTGTGTGGTTCGACCACCTTGGCAGCCCCAGCCACTTGCAGTAATAATCCAAGTCTCCATTGAGCTGGACTAAAACAGCATAGTACCCACCACACAGCAGTTTGCCTGCCCGGCGACCCTCTGGACTGTTTGGAGGGTACCTGGCACAACAGTAAATCCTTTAGTTTACTTCTGCTAGAATACTTTTCGTTTTACATTATCGAGGTTTACTTGTGTCTAAGCCCTTTACCGAGAATGCATCCGTTACAATATACAGAGTTTTACCTTTGTGAGAAAAAGAACATATATCCAATATTTAGTCGAGTGTCGCCAGCCCCCTCCAGTCTTTCTTGGGCCATTTCCCCTCAAAGCATATCTGGAAGGACCACTTGAGGAGATTGAGAAAGAACGGAAGTGTACCATCCACTGTGAATTTTTCGAACACCCCCCAAATAAACAGCTGTGTGTCACCAGCAGACCGGCCAGCTGCTGTAGCCATGAGCGAGTTCCAGGAGAATTGGAGGACACTATGACACCAGATCTTCCCCACCCCCACCACGGGGACTTCGTCCCCGTGGAGGGAGAGGGGTATTGCTTTCTCAGAAAAATCGCTCTTGGCGAGCAAGGGGTGGTTTTGCATGCAGGGGTGGTGCTGGAAGTCGGCCCAGAACTTCCGGAGCTGGTTGGGGTCTGGCAAAATGCACAGCTCCCAACCTGCTTCGCTGTGATACATGGCATGCGTTATACCAGATATCAGCCTCTTTAAGTTGGGGCAAATGTCAGGCAAGCAAATTGGCGTCGGAAGTCACGTAGGGAATCGTGTAAATGTTCACGTAAATGAATTGGCTCCTGTAAGCAATCACGTAAAGATTCACGTAAATATTCTATCACACAAAACTTTGTGTTATAGAAAATTTGCGTGAACCTTTTCGTGATTGCTTACAGGAGCCAATTGATACAAAATCGCTTGGTTTTTAAGCCTTAGGCCCGGAGTGGGGGGTGGGGGGGGGAGGGGTGGTGCTGCAATTTAGGAGTTTAATGGCCGCTCTGGGGCGCCCATTAAACACAGGGCGAGGGTTGAGGGTTGAGGGTTTAATGACAATCGCCTGGCGGTGGTCATTAAACAAAAGGGTTTGGGGTTTAGGCGTTTCATGGCCATCGCCTGGCGGTGGTTATTAAACAAAAGGGTTTAGGGTTTAGGCGTTTAATGGCCATCGCCTGGCAGTGGCCATTAAACAGGGTGTCAGGGCTCTTAGACAACCTTAGGTTTAGATCTCGGGTTTGGGGCTCGGGTTTAGGGTTTAATGGCCATCGCCTGGCGGTGGTCATTAACAAGGTTGGAGGGCCTGCGCTTCGGGGCTGGGGTTTAGGGTTTCTAGGTGTTTTGGGGTTTAGGCTTCTAGGATCGCCTGACGGTGGTCATTAAACAGTGTCAGGGCTCTTAGCCAACCTTGGGTTTAGGTCTCGGGTTTAGGAATTTTGGGCTAAGCGGCTTAGGTTTAAGCACTGTTGCTCCATGTCGGCCGCGGTGCGGCTGCTTAGGCTTTAGGGGTTAGGTCCTCCAACCCTGAACCCTTAAACCCCCTAAACCCACCTTAAAAGGGAAAGGGTTTAGGGTTTAATGACCATCGCCTGGCGGTGGTCATTAAAAAGGTTGGTTGGAGGGCTTGCGCTTCGGGGCTGGGTTTCAGGGTTTACGTCGTTTAGGGTTTAGGGTTTATGCAGGTGTGTTGCTCTAGGCTGGTGAAACTTGGCTGCGGAGCCACTTTTCGTGTATCTTGAAGAGTACAAAAAGGGTTGCCCCATCGCCTGGCGGTGGCCATTAAACAGGGTGTCAGGGCTCTTAGACAACCTTGGGTTTAGATCTCGGGTTTGGGGCTCGGGTTTAGGGTTTAATGGCCATCGCCTGGCGGTGGTCATTAACAAGGTTGGAGGGCCTACGCTTCGGGGCTGGGGTTTAGGGTTTCTAGGTGTTTTGGGGTTTAGGCTTCTAGGATCGCCTGACGGTGGTCATTAAACAGTGTCAGGGCTCTTAGCCAACCTTGGGTTTAGGTCTCGGGTTTAGGAATTTTGGGCTAAGCGGCTTAGGTTTAAGCACTGTTGCTCCATGTCGGCCGCGGTGCGGCTGCTTAGGCTTTAGGGGTTAGGTCCTCCAACCCTGAACCCTTAAACCCCCTAAACCCACCTTAAAAGGGAAAGGGTTTAGGGTTTAATGACCATCGCCTGGCGGTGGTCATTAAAAAGGTTGGTTGGAGGGCTTGCGCTTCGGGGCTGGGTTTCAGGGTTTACGTCGTTTAGGGTTTAGGGTTTATGCAGGTGTGTTGCTCTAGGCTGGTGAAACTTGGCTGCGGAGCCACTTTTCGTGTATCTTGAAGAGTACAAAAAGGGTTGCCCCAAAACCGTTTAAAACCGTTTTGGAGCGCCCCAGTGTGCCGGCAAAACCGTTTTAAAACCGTTTTTAATAGTTTTGAATAGTTTTGGATTTTTGACCCCATTTACGGTGCCCCAAAACCGTTTAAAACCGTTTTGCAGCCACCCAAAAAAGCACCATATAGCAACTGCAATGTAACCATATGAATGCTTTACAACATCGTGATCATCGTGGCATAAATGGAAGTATGTGGTTATTCCAGATGAAACAGGAGGTGGTCTATGAAGAAACAATTTTACTTTCCTCTGAAAGTCGAGACTTTGGTTCTTCGACACAACGAGTTCTGAAACTACTTTTCTCTAATCAACAAATTCCATGGGTGCTACGTTTTACCCATGGTCTAAGAATCTTTTGGCCCGCGAAAGTGCGCCAAAGAATGCTGGCGGCCTTCGAAACGAAGGGATGCTCTACGGCGTTATTGAGCCAAAGGGCAACAGAAACCTTTGCGCCAGGCATGCGAAAAGCTGGAATCTCCAGCTCCAGGCGCGCTTTTGGCCCGCGAAAGTGCGCCAGGGGATGCTGGCGGCCTTCGAAACGAACGGATGCTCTACAGTGTTATAGAGCCAAAGGGCAACAGAAACCTGTGTGCCAGGCATGCAAAAAGCTGGAATCTCCAGCTCCAGGCGCGCTTTTGGCCCGCGAAAGTGCGCCAGGGGATGCTGGCGGCCTTCGAAACGAAGGGACGCTGTGTGGTGGCTCTACCTACACATAGAGCCAAAAGGCCACAGAAACCTCTGTGCCAGGCGTACGAAAAGCTGGAATCTCCAGCTCCAGGCGCGCTTTTGGCCCGCGAAAGTGTGCCAGGGGATGCCGGCGGCCTTCGAGACGAAGGGGTGCTCTACGGTGTTGTAGAGCCGAAGGGCAACAGAAACCTTTGTGCCAGGCCTGGGCCTGCAAACCCTGCGCTTCTTTTCGACTTGACCCTAACGATTTACGTGACTTCCGACGTCATTCACTACATAGGTTCCGACGTAATGCCCTACATACTTTTACATATCCTCAGTTAAAGAGGCTGATATCTGGTATAAGGCATGCAATATTTCGTGAGGTAGCATGACTCTGCTGCTGACCTTGTCGTCGGGAACTCCTTGCAACGGAATGTTGACTTCTGTAGGTGCAGGCAACTGAGACTCTCTCTTTAGCCGACCAAATAAGGCTCCTTCAAAGTTCTTGCTATGTTTGACCTTGGCGAGCTTCTCCAAGGCCGGAAAAACACAGCCAGTCCGGACTTTAGCGAAATCGGCGACAGCTGCAGTGAGGATGGAATGTGCAAAGGCTGCAGATAGAGTACCTGCTGCAAGACCATCCAGGACCAATGTCTCTAAGGCTGAGGTTGCCTCTGCTTCTGTGTCTGCATTTCCAACTCGCTGTTGGATTCCACCTCGTCTCTTCTTTCGTGCGGGCCCAGGCTCTTCCATTGTGTGGCACACGAAAAGGGCATGGTTTGTGTGTGGTTCATGGGTATCGGGAGTTCATATTTCGAGGGCTTGCATGGGAAGAGTTGTCATGTACAGTGCTTCGAAGCACAGATAAGGCTGTGTAGGCTGTAAAGGATGAGGGGCTTCAAGCAAACCTTTAGATCACACACACACACACAGCTCTGTTCAGGCACCAATGCACTATAAGCTCCACACCTTTTCTGTTCAAGCCTGTAAACCTTGTAAGAAAGACTACAGGAATGAATGACAACGATGAACGACAAGGCAACATAATGTTTGTTCACCCGCTCGGTGCTCACAGTTTCTCCTGCACCATGGCCGAAGAGTAACTAACCACATCAAAACTCGCAGCCGTGTCGGGACATAGCAGCTCTCCTCCTTTTTCGTTCTTAAAACACAACATAAACGGCAATCGATGTATATGTGTAGGTTTACATATATTCATGTATCTATATCTATCTACTGTCCCTAACTCTATAAACCCCCTAAACCCTAGGCCTTAAACCCTAAGCACTATATCCACTTGGATGCCATGCACTTCGAGGCTGCTTCAGGCCATGCAGACACACGAGGCTTCACTTCGAAGGCTGCTTCCGGGACTGTCGGACTTGCAGCTGTGCCTTTACAGATGCAACCTGCTCCTCCATGGACTCGCCTTGCTGGGCTGCTGTCTCGATTAAGGTCTGGTATCGGCCGAGTGTAAGCTCGCTGCTGTCCGGCATCTCCTGACACCAAAAAATCGCGGGTGTGCAGGCTTAAGGGTTTATATAGGGTTTAGGGTTTATGGTTCGGGCTGGGCTCTTTATAGGGTGTGGTGTATGAATGGGCTTCTATAGGGAAAGCATTGGGGTTGGTGTGGCCTGCCAGGTCCACACGTGCTCCAAAGCACACTTCTGACTCGATGACGACTGAACGACAGCTTTCCTGAGACACAGATCAACATGCACACAGGCTTTGGGGTTCGTTGTAAGCAAGTATATAAACATGTGTGGGGTTCATATACCGGTTTAGTGTTTAGGGTTTAGGGTGGAGGGTTAAGGAGTCTTCATGCAAGCATCATCGACTTGTAAAGCTCGTCGTCTTTCATCTCGACACCCATGCTGCCGATAAGCTTCTTTGCACCGGCGAGCAAACGATCAAAACTGGCCATGGCCTGGGAAAGCTGGGTCTGGGCTTGCTTCCACTGGGCCTCATTCAAGGGTGCATCGGTAGGAACTCGATCCTGGATTGCAAGCACCTTCGTGGATGAGGAACTGGAACCGGCATTGCTGCTCCCCTTCTGAAACAGGCCGATCTTCCAGTCCTTGCTCGCCTCAGCAAACCAATTCTTGTCGGTCGCTGTGGCTTTCTTTTCGGACTCCAAACTCAGAGAAGCTTGCTTGCCCTTCTCGATAACATGCTCATCGGCCGACCAAGCATAAACCTTCTTGCCACTCTTGTTGACTGTCTCCACGATGTCTCCTTCTGCAAGTGCATTCTCGAACATCTCCGGCGACAAATTGAACTTGCCCATCAGCAAGGTCTTGGGTAATGTCTTGTCTCGATCTCTGGAAACGGTCTTGGTGTAGTTCTCCTTGCCATGCAACAACTTGGCTTTAGGGCTTATGTCTGGGGTCTATGTAGGCCTATATAGATATATAGGGTTGGTTCTAAAAAGGCTTAGATTATAAAAACAACCCTAAACCTTAAATCGTTTTTGACCAAGCTGCTTCGAGTTGCCTGAACATAGGCTTCTGCAAGCACAAGGCCAACTTGCCCGACACGGCATCTCTGTCGACTGCACCGTTAACGAGTCGCCTCTGGGCTTCTGTGCGACCCGTTTTAAGCTTGCTTATTCGCTCCCATTCCAAGCGAAGCCACTCCGGAAGGGCCCCTGACTGCAGGAGCTTGAGGAACTTGTTGTTCTTCGAACGGTCTTTCGTCTCAGCAGGCAACTCAAAGGAACCGTCGTTGGGGCACACACAATCATCGCTCTCACGGGGGCTTTCCTCCTCCGGCTGCTCCTCCTGATTGTCGTCGATCAGCAGCCCTTCTTTCCAATCATCCGCCGAGGGTTGCTTGGGTGGCCCGGATGCCGGCTTCTTGCCCTTGTTCTTGCCCTTTGTGTTTTTGCTCTGGGTCGTGTTGCCTTTGCCCTTGCTTTGGCCCTTGCTTTTGCCCTTAGACTTCTCGATCGTCTTCTTCACTGCCTGGGCCTTGTCTTTGGCCAGGGCCTTGCCCTTAGCTTTGGCCAGGGCCTTGCCCTTAGCTTTGGCCTTGGGGCTTGTCTTTGCTTTGGGAGCTTTCTGTGTCTTCTCGGGCTCCTTCTTCTCGTTCTTCGGCTTTGCTTGCTCCTTCGGTTCGGGGGTCAACTTTGCTGCCTTCTGCTGAGGCTCTGCAACCTCTGGAGCATTCTTCTGTTTGCTAGGCTTTGCTGCAGGTTTCTTCATGCACGGGGTGTCGTCGTCAGCATCCACAAGGTCGCCTGCAGCATTTGTTGCAGGCTTTTTCGTGGACGGGATGTCGTCGTCAGCATCCACAACGTCGCCTGCAGCAGCAACATCTTCAGGAGGATCCTGACAGGACATGCTTACCTTTGTGTCAACCAAAAGTCAACATGGTTTTACCTCTGTGACTAGACAATTGTTTTACACATGTGGCTTGGCTGCCATGGAGCATGAGGCCAGGCCTGGATCTGCTTGGGAGGCATCGCCCCGAAAGCTGGGATATGACAATTGTTACTTAGCTCGCTATATACACTGATGTGGATCCAGGAAAAACTGCATTGACACACACGGTTGGGCAAGCCTCTCACAAGTAAAAAAAGAGAATCAGACACAAAGCCCTCAACAGCAAAATGTCACAACAAACTTCAGGCTTGACACAATTTTTTTAATCAAAACCAATTAGTTCAAGAACAAATATAAACATTTTTAAAGACGAATAGCAAAAAAAAACAAACAAAATGTAAAAAAATGCCTTTTTAATAAAAAATATTTTGAAAAAAAAAATCAAAAAATATTTTAAAAAATATAAAAAAATCAAAAAAAAGTGTGATGCAGTTTCGATGCAGTTTTGATGCTGTTTTGATGCGGTTTTTAAAAGTGATGCAGTTTTGATGCAGTTTTAGGTAAAACTGCATCAAATTCGATGCAGTTTTGATGCAGTTTTCAGAACTGCATCAAAACAGCATCAAAACTGCATCGAAACTACATCACTTTTTTTTGATTTTTTTTATATTTTTTTTAATTTTTTAAAAAATTTTCTGGTTTTAATAAAAAATGCATTCCTAAAGCCTGAAAGTTGTGGAAGAATTATATATTGTGCTCGAGAACAATGTATAGTATTTACGGGAAAAAAGAGTGAAGAACAACCAGACACAGGAACCAAAACACCACACACACACACCATCAGGCGCAGCGCCAGACCGGGCCACTGGAGACCACCACCCTTTGCCTAAACCTTAAACTCTAAACCCTAAACCCTAAACCCTAAGCCCTAAACCCTAAACCCTAATTGAGGGCAAAATGTGTTTAAGGGTCTTAGGTTTTGGTTTTATAGGTGTTTAGGGGGGTTTAGGAGTTTCAGGGCACGGGGGTTAGCAGATTTGTGTCAAAGGGTTCGATAGACGGGTTTAAGGTTTAGGGGTTTCGGGTCTTTTGTACGGGCTAACAGGTGACAGCTTTCGGTCTTCTCGGGGTTCAACTGGCTGGGTACAGTGTTTGCAACCGAATGTAAACTTCCGAAAGTAAATGCACTATTTCTTCTCGGGGTTCAAGTGGCTGGGTGCAGTGCTTGCAATCGAATGTAAACTTCCGAAAGTAAAACTATTTCTTCTCGGTGTTCAAGTGCTGTCAGTGTTTACAATCGAATGTAAAAGTTACACGGAAAGAAAGGACACCGTTTCTTTTCTCTCTCTTTCGGCAATGCTCTTAGTCCACTGTGCCAGATCGTCAGGCACGGCACAGCTTCACATATGTTACTCTCTGCAAGAGTGCAACAGCGGTCGCTCGGAGTAAGGTTTGAAGGCTTCTTACATCGTCTCGAAACAACAATGATTGTTTTCGGGGTGCTATCTATATAACTTCGAGGAGATGGATGGCAACAACACATCTTCTAACCGAGCAACAAAAACTGCACTTAATATTACAAAGCAGCTCTACCGGTGCCTCTTCTTCTCAACTCTCACTCGAAGACGCACCGAGCCAGAACCCGAGGATCGCCTCCTCCTTCTTGACCGGCTCCGGCTCCGAGAGCTTGTGGACGACCTCCTCCTCCGGTGCTGCTTCTTCTTCTTCTTCTTGTCCTTCTTTTTCTTTTCCTCCTCCGATACCTCCTCCTCCTCCTTGTCGTCCTCCTTGTCGTCGTCCTCGTCCTCCTTGTCGGCCTCCGGTTCAAGAGGTGCCTCCTCCTCCCCCTCCTCTGCCAGGCTCTTCTCGAGGTTCAATCGAAGGAGCTCATAGCCAGCCGGGTCCTCCCCATCATTTGGCTGCTCGATCAGCTGGAAAGGATCCTGCTCGATCAGCTGGAAAGGATCCTCTCACAAACAATACAGCAATCTTCTTCTCACCCGAAAACACCTAAGACCCCTAGGTCCCTACCGGGTTTAGGGTTGAGGGTTTAGGGTTGGTTAGGGCTTGAGGCTTAGGTTTAGGGTTTAGGGTTTAGGGTTTAGGGTTTAGGGTTTAGGGTTTAGGGTTTAGGGTTTAGGGTTTAGGGTTTAGGGTTTAGTTTTTTCAAAAGTAAGTGCCTCCTGAACTCCATTGTCATTGTCGTCCTCGTGGACCAAACCACCCTCTGCCACATTTTGCTGCCCAGCAGAACCGTCGGCCCCACTCTGATCCTGATGCCAGCCATCGTTCCCACCAGGCTGGCTGTGAACTGGAACAGGAGACATAAACGGAGCCTTTGCAAAGTTGATTGGTCCTTGGTAATAGGGAGTCATCCGAAGTAGCGGGTTGTTGTAGGCATTCGGTATAACCCCGGTCCAAGAGCCCACTGCAGGCGGGTCTGGTACAGGCATGGGCAAATGCCATGGAGGCAATGGCCAGCTCTGGAAAGCTTCGGGTGGAGTCATCACACCACATGGAGGAAGTGGAGCACCAGCTGGAGGAAGTGCAGGTTCAGCAACTGGAACAGCTGGTGGAGGAGGTGGAGGAACTGGAACAGCTGATTGAGTTGCCGGAGCAGCTGTCGGGGCACGTGCCAGCTCGGCATGTAAGCACTTCCCGGTGCAAAGCCTCTGAGAACCACAGATGTAAAATGAATCTCTCGGAGAATACAAATGTAAAATTAATTTGTCGAGCAAAAGTAAAAGGCTTCACTGGAAAGTGTCGAGGAACCCTCGCACCCATTGGTCGTTGAGTGTCTCTACACATCGTCGAGCATCTTCTGCCGACTCCTCACACTATATAATTTTACATGTGAGCACAACCTGATAACCCGAAATCCCTATCAAGTTAAATATACATGAATGGAAAAAACGAAGTAAAACTCATACACACCCAAAAGACCAAGCTTCGAAAGAGAGGAACAAACTGCAACGCTCTGGCTTTGGAGAACCACCTTGCTCCAACATAACCCTAAACCCTAAACCCTAAACCCTAAACCCTAAACCCTAAACCCTAAACCCTAAACCCTAAAAACCCGAAACCCCTAAACCCTAAACCCTTTATGTCAGCACACACACACACACAGAAGCCTGATGTAAAATGCTGACAAGTTTCTGAGCCAGTATGGTTTTCGGCAAACCTGGATCTCGGTGCACGTGGTTATGTGCCAGGATTCCAGGCAGTTCCGGACTTGCCACTTCTGGACATCGAACCACACATTGCTCACGTACACCCTCATGGCTCTACACGGTCTCCAGACTTGTGCTGCTCTGTGTGTGTGTTTATATGGCCACAACAGTCTCACATCTCATGCACATGTGCAATCTGCTGCAAGTAACACGAAGGTAAAACCAATGTAGCCCAAAAGCGCCTCTCATCTCGTGTCATGTGTAAAATAGCTCGAGAGTAAACTGCCGGGTGAAGAAACATATATGGGTTGAGGGTTTAAGGGTTTAAGGTTTAAGGGTTTAAGGGTTTAAAGGTTTAAGGGTTGAAGGGTTATAGGTTTAGGGTTTCGGTTCTGGAATGCAAATGTCTCATGTAAGGCCGAATGTAAACCCATGCAAAGGCCAAATGCAAATGCCAATGCAAACAGGAACGTCTCATGTAATGGCCGAATGTAAACTCATGTAAAGGCCGAACCCTAAACCCTAAACCCTAAACCCTAAACCCTAAACCCTAAACCCTAAACCCTAAACCCTAAACCCTAAACCCTAAACCCTAAACCCTAACCCTAAACCGTGTAAATGCCGATGCAAATACAAGCTTCATGTAAAGGCCGAATGCAAATGCCGATTGCAGATTTCTTCCCCACACAGAGCACATGTGCTGTCACATGTGTGAACCCGGAAACTTTTCTTCATATAGGCAGCTTCTTGTAGGCAGCTTGCTGGCCGCTTGGTTTAGGGTTTAGGGTTTAGGGTGTAAGGTTTAGGGTTTAGGGTTTAATCGCTCACACTCGGACAAGCCAGGGTTTAGGGCTTAGGATTCAAAATATTAAAGTGTCTCCATGATTCTAGCACGAATCGCAAACAGCTCGGAACCCGACTTGCCCTCTCGAACATGCCCAACAAGCTGCCTACAAATCTGCTGGTGGTGGCCATCCATGCAGCTGGACACGATGCTCTTCCACTTCTGGTCGGTGCCCTTGTACCTGATGTAGGACTTCTTTGTGTACATCTCCAGCTTGCATTCGCCATAGTTCTTCGCCTGGAACTTGTAGCCATTGCCATACTCCTCGGCCTCCCCAGCTGCCGGAAACTCGTCCGAGAGGGCAGCCGGGGTTTTTCTCTTGCTTTGGGAGCTGGGCTTCTTCATCGGCTTTGCCTGCTTGCTTGGCTTGCTTCGGGAGCTGGGCTTCTTCATAACGGCCTGGGGCTCGTACTCCATCGCATCTCGGAGCAAGGCTTCGTCCGACATGTCGGCCTTGGGCTCGCTGCCTGCCTTCATCTTCTTCTTGGGCTGCATCTTGCCTAGCTTCTTAGCGCCACACTTTCCCTGCTTCTTCTTCTTGATTTGGTTTGTGTGGCTCGAGCTGGAGCAAGGCGACCCCGAGCTATACTTTGACATGATCTTGTCGAAAATCGCTGGCAGCTTTGGCAAACCTGTGGCATCCAGATCATTCCCCGAACTCTGGCCCGCAGCAGTCAAAGGTGATGCATTCGGCTTCGGCGAGGGACTCGGATTCTCCCATGGAACAATCTCGACACTTGTCGGGGTCTCTCTTTCGGACTCCTCCAAGTTCTGCACACTGGTAAGGTCCAGCTGCAACTTCGCCAGGATCATGTCGATTTTTACTTGTTCTGATCGGCTGAGCAACCGAAACACCTTCAGCTTCA